ACGATTCATGTTGGAATATATAGATAACTTCTGAGTACAATCCCAAATACAGTGTGTTGCTCGACGCTTCCTCTACTCACTGGTCCATCCTGTCTAATTGCTTCACTACTAACCGTGTTGTATACTTTGGATTTTTGCAGGAACCTCTTATCCTCATCTGAAGACTATTCTACAACTGGTGCACAGCTTCTACCAGTAGACATGACTCTAGCAGTGAACGCTTCTATGGATTATATTAATAATTTGTAGCCGTGTTCTTTAACTTCATATCCAAGTAACCGTTTAATTAATATAACTGATTGCTATATTTTTCATAATATACTGTTACACTATCATCTAATGAACTTGGATCTTTATTCACATACTTGTCATGTTATTGAGCTCACTAGACAGTCCTCTACAGACATACTTCAGGGAGTTAAGTAGAAAAAGAAACACATGTAATGTTAATGTGGTGGACGGTAAGTTCCAGTGAAATATTATTCTCGCAGTAAGAATCATTGTATTTGTTGGTGTTAGCGTCTGAACATTATTGCCACAGTTCAATAGTTCATTAGCAATAGAATACTCTGTATATATTTGAACATTCTATTTCATGTCGTTTAATGTAAAAAACCAAAATCACACGCTCAGTGATTGGCGAACGAATATAAATTGTAGATATACAAACCGCGGTTTGATCACTTGAAAATATACCTTGGTGTCCGTGTCTTGCCCCCTGTTGTTACAATACCACTGGGAATGTAGGTGTATGTGTGTGAGGAGAAAAGAATAAGAACAGTAGCTAAGGTGTGCGTTGGTGGCAGGGTGGTTATTTTTTTTTGACTTACAGCTTGATTCCACAACGTATTTTTGGTACAAGTATGGGGTTTTCAGCATGGATATCGGTAGCCCATATTTTGCAGGCCGACCATAGATATCGGGTGTGTGTCAGCGTGGGCTGGAACCCCGGACCATGTGCATGGTAGGCGAGGATCCTAACCACTGTGCCACCGACGCACTCTCGCCGACCATGCACATGGCCCAAGGCTCGATCCCCCGCCGACACACACCTGATATCTATGGTCGCCCTGCAAAATATGGGCTACCGATATCCATGCTGAAAATTTCATACTTGTATCAAAATACAATGTGGAATCAAGCTGTAATCAAAAATAAAGTAAATAAAAGAAGTGTTCAGAATTTCAGGCATAACATTGAGTGATGAGTAAATCTACACTAATGGGAATGATTTTGAATTATTTAGCATCCTGAACACTCAAAGGATTTGATTATATATTTCTCTCAGACATTCTGACTGAAAGTCAATGGCTTCATGGAATGATATCTTGTTTCAATCTGCCCACTTCCAGAATTCGGTCCAACTCTACTTAACATTATTGACAGAGAGTGCTCACATCTCAACATGCTCTTCCCACCTAAATCTATAATACTGTGCAACCTCATAGGCCATCGATTAACATTCACAACGTTTGTTATCGATGAAACGACATGACGTAGATTAGAAGCAGGATGAAAGGATAGTGCTTGGAAGCTGATGTGACAAAGTTAGTTGGATGGCTACCTGCAGCCTACTTATGTACTAACTTGAAAAAAACCTCGGTGAATTCTAAATTTCTTAGGACTGTTGACTAAATATTTTGCAAGTATGCAACACACCTGTCACAATATGCATAAATGTTACTTAGACATTTTCATCTAGTTCTTGGCATGCGATTCACTCCTGCAAACTGTAAGATGCTGCTACAGGACTGGACTACGTCAACTCCTAGCTTAGTGATAGGGAGTGAAGTGATAGAACATGTTGACCACTTCACCTATTTGGGAAGCTGCATCAGCACCAACGGACTAATTGGCAATGAAATCTCACCACGGATCCGAAAAGCTCGAGCTGCTTTCGCTGACTTACACCATCTCTGGCGTAGGCGTGATATCCGGTCATCAACCAAGGGACGTGTGTACTGCTCATCAGTTCGCTCTGTCCTTCTCTATGGCTCTGAAACATGGCCAATACGAGTTGAAGACATGAAAAGGTTGACTGTTTTTGATCATAGATGTCTACGATCTCCTTCTCACGTTAGGTGGTTTCACAAGGTAAGTAATGTTGACGTTAGGCGTAGAGTGTTGGGCAAAGAGGGAAAATCAATCGACGAGGCTATAAAGTTAAATAGATTGAGATGGCTAGGTCACGTGCTGCGCATGCCTAACCATCGCCTCCCCCGACGGGCATAACTAGGTAGCTGATATAGGTTCAGGTTGGAAAAGAGCCAGTGGTGGCCAAACAAAAACATGGCCTCATCAATCTATGAAATCCTTGACAGTTAAACTGAGTCGGGTAGGGAGATTCAGACTTCCGGGTCGGGGCCCTCGGGACTCTAGGAATCAATGGCTGGAGACAATAGGTGACATGACTCAAAATCGTTGTCAATGGCCAGCGCAGATGTATTCAGTCTCTGTAATCTTTCATATTTATTTCTACCATTACCCATTCTGTTTCACTCTTATACTTGTGAAACTCTATTAATTCTCTCCACTCATCTAACTTTGTGTGGTATTTGGAAGGTGGCAACTCGAACTGGTGCACTTCGGTGCCAAGTTCTATGTTGAATCCAGACAGACAGTTCTCGGCCTATTAGATTTAGCATACTGATCCTTGTCTAAACAGAACACTTGCTCATCTGTTATTATTTCGCAGAAAGTATTTTTGTGAGGCACCTGGACGAAATAAGTCCTTTAGAATGAAAATAACTATATCTGACAAGAAGACAAGAGATTACCTTTTAATAATTATATTTTGAATAGAGAAAGAACTAACATTTTTGCAGGATAACAATACGATCTCTTCACATTTCGTAGATTCTCTTCAAGTAATGCTTACATCCTAAATGAATCAATAATATGTTACAAAATAGTGTCTGAACATACTTTTTTACAATGGTTTCAAGTTATAGATAGAAAGTTTAAGCAAGTAATTTGAAAGATGATGTAAGTAGGCAATTATTTATTGTTAAAAGAGTAACTATTTATGTGTTAATTAGAGAAAGGGGTGGAATTCAGATCTCTCTTGGAAACAAGGATAGACCAGGGACAAAATACAAGAGATAACAACAGAATGAATTTCTACATCTAATAGTAGAGAGTTCAGGAGGTTGGGTGGGGGCGAAAAGTGAAGTAAAATTATAAAATAGATAAAATACTTTAATTTAGTAGATTTGGAACCTTACTAGTGAGTTCAACTCATTGAGTGAAAACCATAATCAAGAATAAGGGCAATGTTATGCAGCAGAACAAAACACAAAAGAACGCGAAGAAAACAGTTATGGTTACCAAGGTAGAGAGAGATTAGTCACACTCTCTTTCTGTATGCATGGGTTGGCAATGGCTTCTGAGAACTGAAGTAATCATGCTTTGCTCTGTGTGTTATCTTGAAAGTCTGACTGGTTTCCACTCTATTTCTCGTGTCAGTTAGATGTCTGGCAATTGCAATTGAGAGTATTTTGCTGCCTTTCAAACAGAGACTTTTAGGGATATGCTCGGAGATTCTATTAGACTCTCTTCTCTCAGTCCTTCCTATTTATTTGATGCCTCAGGTGCATGTGAACTGGTAAGTGCAGTTGAAGTTGACATGAGCAGGATACTTATCTACTTTTGACTGGGTTAACGAGAATACTGTGTCGTAAAGTGGAATGAGTCTAGCGGTATGTTCACACACTATTTTATAACATATAATCGATTTATTTAGTACGTACGCCGTTGAAGAAAATCCACGAAATGAAGCAAGCCCGTATTATCCCGCAAATATATTCGTCCTTTCTTTATTCAAACTAATACAGGGAACCTGTATGGTGTATGATAATACTAATATGCTGACTAGTTCTGATCCAAACTACTTTTACAACATATGATAAATCACCAAATGCAAGAAAGCCTGATAAAACATGAAACGGTTATGAAGAAATATTGTGGCGAGTGAGAAAATCAAAACATAGTCGGTATTTATTTATGAATATTGTGTGAACAGTTTGGATCTGTAGAAGGATACAGTTTGTAAGTCAATAATTTTTGCTTGGTAACTTTGAAGAAGTCACAAAATTTCAGTAAAGTAAACTAATTATTTCCCACCAGAAAGGAACAAGACAAGAGGTTCACTGTAATATTTTCAATATGTGACACCTGATGTTTCCTTAGTTTACCAATACAAAGTCATTTTTCGTCAGTTACTGTTTTATGAAGTAGTCAACTTGCACATTATTCCAACTGTTTTAGTAAAAGTCAGGAACATTGTGGTTCCAAAACAAACTGCTTGACAGTTCCTAGACGTAACTTAGTTGTTGCTAAAGTGTAGTATGTACAGAAGAACTGTTTAAAAATAAAATAGTGGTAAGATTCAGGTTTTCTTTCCGTATATTTGTGAATGACCTGATACAAAATGCGTTAAAATTCCTCCAGTTTCTATTGACATATGCAAGAGTGTTCATTGCTTCGACAACTATGCATGTGGATAGAGTTAGGCTTAAGTGGTGGTCTTGTTAGTCGGTAGAAAATTTGAATTTACATGTCTAAGAAACAAAAATTAACTTAAGTCATTGGTTCATTAGCGTTGTCAATCACGAATCGTGCGAAATTCCTCAGAGCATTACACTAAGATGAATAAACGACCAAAATACAATTAAGTGAAAGTTAATTAATTGGGATAATAGTTGTTATGCAGTATAACTAAGACGTTCTGTGAAATGCGAGCCATCCTAAATTCTGCTGGATTTACTAGTATTATGAACAGCATTTGCATAAATAATACTCTGAAGCATTTCCATCTATTTTAATTGATAGTGTAATTTCTTACAGGAACGTTAAACATCTTTTATTCAGCAAGCATATTTTCAATAAGTATGCATAAATGAACCCTAATTTCATTATCAAATAAAGTATTCTTGAAAATTTTTTAAATATTACAGGTTTATCAAAACAATATGCTTAAATTTTTGCCGTCACTGACTCACCTGCGCATCTGAAAGCTCCTTTGACAATCGACTATTCTCACTTTTCATTGATTCTAATTGGTCTTTCATATTCTTACTAGATGAACTGTTCAAATCCAGATATTTTATAAGACGTAACAAATCCCTTTCAATAAACAAAAGCAGAGACTTTAACTCCTCTAAGTTATAGTTATTTCTTGATGGTATATTGTTGACTTCACGTATGAATCGTCCAGTTTCTGAAGGTAAATTGTACGTATCCATTGGCTTTACCAGGCACTTTGCTAAAACCTTAACGTGCATAAAATTCCGGCAAAATGCTTACTTGAATGATGGAGGAAAAGATCGGTGAATAAGTATCACTACGACTTAGACCAGCATCAGTCTGACATTCCTGAGATTTGGTTGTTATTTCGACATTATTACCAGTACATTTTGATGGCATTTGAGAAGGAAAGTTATAGAAACGCTCTACATCAGAAATCCACTTCAGAGCTTCAGCAGCCATTGTGCTGTCCACGTATTTATCCGTTAGGGGACTGTTCAACTGACAGCAAATACTGTCGTCTTTCTTTTCACCATTTTCTTTTGCTTCGTTATCTAATAAGTTAGAATTGTAAGCACTTATCCTTACTAGCATTGATCGCATCTGTAAGAGCATAGACAGTCGATATGTGCTCACTGACGCAAGCGCCCAATGAATTCACGTCTTCAGAATATGGATAGGAGTAAAGGGCATCTACCTTGCATATATGGCTCAGGATTTGAAAGATAAGTAAGCACCTATAAGTATGTCTCTTAGTCAAATAAAAATTATTTGCAACCTATCGATTATCATCTCAAGCAAAACTACGTGCAATATGGTATTTGATGATTGGTTAGTTTGAGAATAGTTACACTTGGATAGAACTGAATGAATTTTTATCTCCAGCGCTGATTTTCCAGGAAACTTCCACGAGTATGCCTTCCTCATTTTTGCGCGTCTGTTGAGCTTTTCAACAAAATCATGAAGCAGATTGACTTCTTTTCTGAGTTTGAGAATACATGCTTCGCTACCAAGAGACATTTCCTTTGAAAAAGTCAGACTCTTAATTGCCTACTAAGTAAGTATCAGTGATGAAGTTAAACAAATCAAAGGCATATCACTTATGTGACTCAGAATTTAAGTATTTAAAATTTGTCTCAAGAATCATTGTGACTTATAACCTGCCAGGTGTGTTAACTGTCTCTTTAAAGTTGACTTTATTGTCCTCAACTGTTCTTGTAGCCTTCTCCGTACTCAATAGTTTGTATTATTGACTCTTTGTTGATATATAAATTACGAATCATATTTTATGCAACTGAGGAGGCCTACATGCTGCCGGAGTTATCAGAATTTTTTGGCTTTCGTTTGCATATGTTCTCGATGATGAATGGTAGAATAAGACAAATGAGATATAAGAGGATGGTTCCTTAGGTTATAAGAAGCTAAGGGTAGGAGAGTATGTAGGGGAAATATACATAGTTGTTTAGCGTTATTTTGTGGGACTTTACTGGAAAGGATTAGTATTACGTACACAGACAACAAACTCCAAGTCATATATTCCTACAAAATCATCTGAGCCATCTGGTGTGCTATGCTTGTGACGTTATTTTGTACCTTTTCACAGACAAGGTAGACCAAATAGATCTTCACATTCCTTGCATTCGGGTTTTACCTTCATCTCCTTATCATTTGGATATCGGCAGACATAGACATGTTAAGGCAGACAGCCCACCAAGTTCTCCATGATAACAAATGATCAGCTTCAGAAAATGCTTGCAGGGTTAACAGATGTGTGCCTCCCCCACTTCAGATGAGGATGGGAGTGTTTCAATTGGATGTCATTTGTTAATTCACATTCTCAAATTGCCTTGTGACCATCATTTAGACTCAATTGATAGGTGAAATGTTCTGTGACCCCGAACGACAGATTGAATCTCCACATCGAAAGCGAAAATCAAAGACAAGGGTTGGGAAGTCAGCTGCTAGGACGGTTTCTAGACTTTGAAGTGGTGAAATTTTATGACTGAGTCGCATCTTCCGGCCTCGATTACTTTTGCAATGAAGTCACACTACACAAGCCATCAGCAAAGGTAATACAGAGACTCAAATGAAACTCAGAAAAAATAGGCGAACGTGATGGAGAGGATTTTTCTTGAAGAAACCGTCAGTGCAGATACCTGGTAGGCTTATGTGCAACCGGTTGTCTTTGTGAAGAAAATCTCCAGAAACAACCAATCACGCAGAAGAGTAGCAGTAGATATGGTTTATAAACTTGTAGGTAATTGTAAAAGCCTAATTCAACCACAAAATTCGGATTTTCAATATAAACGTCAAGTCAGTTCTTCTATAAGGATCAGAAACTTGGCGGGTCACAAACAATTTTCCCAACAGCCTGTTGCAGACATTTATCAACAACTGTCTTCGCTCTATATAGAAGATCAGATGGCCTGGCCGGAAAGAATCACCAACAAGAAAGTATGGGAACAAACAAACAAAACAAGAACAAACCAATCGCCAACCAACAAATGTACAGGAAAAAGTGGAGATGACACATTGGACACTCGCTGAGGGGGCCGCCGCCGGGTGGCATCGCGCGCGTGTCAGGCCATTGCTCCAGTGGAACCAGGCAGAAAGGGAGGTGGCGAGTGGGACATCAGTGCAAGAGTGACATGGAGGAGATCGTGTGAAGAGGAGTTGAAAGAGTATGGACTAACATGGATGCAGGTGGAAAGTACAGCAGAAGGAAGACAGAAGCAAGTGGAGACGTGCAGTTGAAGCCCTACACTCCGCTAGGAACCCAAGGGAACAGTAATAATAATTCATGCTAAAATATGAGCTGGAGATGTTATCAAGAGAGACGATGAGCTTCCGAGGTATCAGAACCACATCGGTTAGGATGGCAGTATTCCAATCTCAGTGAAATCGCCCAATAATATTTAACCCCGAAACCACATCATACACAAGTGAAATGACGAGACTTGAGGTTGCTAACTCTTCGGTTCTGTAATAGGGTCCAGAAAACCAATTAGTTAGGCTGCTTGAGTGACTTCGAGTTTGCTTCTAGTTGCTTTCAGACAGGAATAGCACTCATGACTGGTGTATAGCTATCTATCCTCCCACCATATTTGCCGAAATTTTTAGAGCTTTTGGTGGTTCTAATAACTTGGACAAAGTTAGAGTGCGTGAACCCAAAGGTAGCAATATGTTTTAGCGTGAGAGAGGGGGACAGTAGACTCACATCATCAGGGTGCTTACCGAGTAATGGGGCTGTAGGTTTGAGGTAGTTGGCTGCAAATGTTTTGCTGAATAATTCACACATGTGTGCAGAGTCGGTGTATAGCTTTTCTTTGTCTATGGAAAGAGAATTGCTGTAATATTTGCGGTCCAATCGCTTCTTTACTATTTCTGTGAGGGCATATAACCTTGCTGGGCTGACTAATACAGTGTGTTCTTCATTCCTCAAACGCGAATCTCGAGCCTGTTAGGTGGAGCTATGGGCCTTAAGTATTAAATTTAATGTGTCAAAGTGGCTTTGTTTGAAGTAACTGGTCGAGAGTCTTCTCAGCTGCTTATGATTCTTTAGTTTTATAAGTGGCCTGCTATATGGGAAACTTGGTGCTTGAAGTGGAATGGCAGCATTCACTCGTGTTTGAGTTATGGTAGAAGGTGCTTAGAGCTCTCGAGAGGTCATAGGTGGTGAAGTATTCACCCAATTCAGAAGATCGCAGCATTAATTCTACGAAAGCCAAGTTTGCCTCGCTATAGTTTGTATATATTATTTGTTGTGAAGTGGAGGTATGAACTGCATTGCTACTCAGTGGAAGTGGCAGTGCACACATCACTGTTTTGTGGTCACTGCCTGAAAACTTAGAGCCTGCTAAGATTGAGTGGGGACTTATATCGTGACAGGATATTAAGTCCAGTACGTTATCACCTCTTGTAGGGAGAGTGACAGTCTGTTTCCAGTCGAAAATGTCCAGTGTACCTAAGAGCTCGTCATATTTAGTTGAGCCTTTTAATAAATGCCAGTTGATTTCGTGTAGGTTGAAGTCTCCACATATGACCTTATGCTCATATCGGAGAGTGGACACTTGCTTCAGTGCATTGATGTCTTGACTCTGATAACCACTGTAGGTACCAGGTACTGGGTAGATACATCCTATTAGTACTGTAGCATTTCTGGAAATGAGAATCAAGTGAACGGCGATGTGATAGCAAGAGCTTTACTTTTACAGGTTTTCGTGCAGTGGAGTTTTAACCCACCTTAATAGAAATGTAAAGCTATGAAAGCACTAAGTAACGAAGAAAAAATGTGTCGTGTACTGTCATACTTTTTAGGTTGAATCCCGATAGACGAGGAAACCTCATAATATATTACAGTGCTGACTTCTCAACAGAAGAATTAGTCGAATGGATATCAAGTTTCCGGTGCTTAGTAGTTAATGATTTCAAAACCTGATTAGTTTGGCAAAGGAACCTCCTAATCACGTTATCATATTTTTTTTTGATTTACAGCTTGATTCCACACTGTATTTTTGGTACAAGTATGGAATTTTCAGCATGGATATCGGTAGCCCAAATTTTGCAGGCCGACCACAGATATCAGGTGTGCGTCGGCGTGGGCTCGAACCCCGGACCATGTGCATGGTCGGCGAGAGTCCTAACCACTGTGCCACCGACGCTTCCGATCGCAAGTTGGTGGGATAATTCGTATCATTTATCCTAGCCCATCATATTCGTACACTCACAAGGTATGGCTCTTAGTATCGCTCCTCAGCACTCGGCTTGGTATTCTCTCACGGCTTTGAAAACTAAAAAACAATGTTTTGAAGTTGTCTTGTTATAAGTGATGTGATGAACTACAAATTGAGTTCGAAATATCATCCAGCAAATAATACTATTTCGCCGAGTGATATATCTCGTAAGCAAATTATTATGGAAGTCTCTGCAATAAACACATCTAGGGCATCGCTCCCTCGGACATCGTCCCTTCACTAGTACGGTAGTGATAAAAGCAGACTGAACACCAACTTGGGTGAGCTGTGTTTAAATCGTCGGTAAGTAGTGCGTTCAAAGGGCAGCTCTAAAAGGACAGATGTCCACATGACAATCACTAGCATCATTTTTAGTTGAAGCCGAGCGAAAAGCGAGCTCGAAGTGGTTCAAGCAATTCAAAGGAGTGAAATCCCATAAAACCTTGGGAAATGAGTGTGTATATATCAACCCCTGAACTACAAAGTCAAGGGATATGCATACCGCAGATAAAGAATCCATCCAGATGGTTCACTAGTCACAAACGTAACTCAGTGTCTTCTGCGAAGTGCAATGCAGAAGCCGTTCTCATAGAAACAAGACGCATAATGGAGTACTTTACGGAGGTATTTAGGAGGCAACAACTGCCACGCAAGTATCCGGTTGCAACACCCAATGGAGTAAAGGTCCTTTCAATTTCCATCAAAAAAATCGGAGCTGTAAGAGGACTAAATATTAGGACGGAATGGACCAAATCTAGATCTCATTAAGTAGACGGCATCACATAGCGCGCTCACTAGCAGTTGTCTTTACACGAATTTTCAAATTATCGGTGTGTAGCAGTTGACTCTCCTCGAAATTATCAGCCAACAGAATTCCTCACCCGAAATTGGATGCTGACCTTCAGTTTTGAACAGTAGGCTCGTAGACAAGCCCTTACGCCCTTTGGAAATTCATGTTGATACGTTCGTTTGTCTGTGTACTATCCATAGGCAGTTAGGCAATTATACTCAAACATTGATTTCGGTCACGAAAAGTAATACGTATTTTGGAGTATAAATTTGGTGACATGTTTGGATGGGTCCAGGAAGAACGAAAATTATAGGTGCCATAGATATAGGAACCCAAATTGATATCTCTCATATTTTCCGTGGAGGTCGACAGGACAAATCCCACGAGGCGGGATGTCGGAAAACTAACAGTAAATGTCAATGACCAGCTTCTACTACGCTGGACCTGACGCTGTCCCTGGAAGACCTTCAGAAACACTTTGTATTAACCAACGCGGA